TAAAACTTTCAAGTCAGTTCGGGTAGTCTACTTACCCCCTTAAGCTAAAATAGTCGCAATCTACACCCTGAAAACATAAGAGAAACGTACGAAACCCCGCCGTGATCATGTTGGTTGTTCGGCGGCTCACTACTACTACCGACAGAACTTTCCCGCAGATCGTACGATCCCCGTCGTCATTAATTAATTTCGGTCATAAATACCGATCGCGAGGGTCCCAAATATCCCTTGCGAAACAAGGATCTCTCATAACCACACTCCGAATCCGAAGCGGGTGAGTGGCGCAATCCTAGAAGGAGGCTGGAGCGGGGTGTGATACCACCGATTGATTCGATCTTTACACCTCAAGATAGTGAGACGGGTTCTTGTTCCTGGTACCGAGCCCATAGCCTTGACAGCTGGAATATTGGTCAAGGTATAATTCATAGCCACAAAATAATAGTCAATGGTGGCGTAGCCACCTAGTCAACAAATTTCGTTTAGGTCTTTCTTGAGCTCACTGTCAAAGACGTACTCGATCAGAAAGACCCTTGACGGCAATGACCCAGGCCTTTTCGTCCACCTAACCGCCCAAAGGGACCATGTGTTGGACTCTGCTACATCGAACGAGTCTTCCGGAGCTAATTCTACAGTGTTCGGATTTATGCCGCGGCGCATGGCAGGTCCTCAGATTTGGTTTCAGCTATTTCTAGTGCCCTGACATGATGTCAACGACTGCCAGTCTGGCATTTTTAAAAAAAGCATCCTACGTAAATGAGGCGAGCTTCCATCTATTGAGAATTCGTGCATGCCTCGACGCTAACTTAGTAGATGACTTGACTAATCCACTGAATCGTAGATGAGATGGATACCTGATGTATACTACCCCAGACTCAAAAGAACGACCACAGAGCTGGAGGCCAGGGAAATTTCCAGTAGTTTATGATTAGGCTTCCTTTCCATCACGGCTTTTGAGACGTTCCGAAAACATGTTGTACATGTATACGAAGGATAGGGTCCCAAGCTTACTGGCACACTAATGTAGAGCCTGACCGACACTGAGGTTGTTCGAGAAAACGAGAACCCAGCTTGAAAATGAGGCTCGGAAGTGAACTGCTGATGAATGACAAGCGAGAAACTCGATCTTTGTCTTAAGGAAGAAGACCTAATAAGGATACAGCCGGATTGCATACTGCACAGATGGCATCTATACTTGCCGTTTAAGCGTCACTACTGTTCTTGTTCTATACACAGAATTTGTGTCTCCATCTTTGAATAACTAGTCTACGTATGAGTCTAGATATCTAAACGACTAGGTATTGGTTATTCGTACGACAATTGAGACCGTCGGAACTCGATGGACTCAACTACCTACGTACTAGTAACTCAACTATCCACAACCATAGAATCGTTAGCCGGTGTGGCATCTGATTCAGCATCCCCCTCAATTTCCGCATTACTCTCTTCTGTCTCTTTGTCCTTCGACTCCTTGGGTTTAGGGCCTCGCTTCGCTGGAGGACGCCCAGGCCCTCTTCCCCTACCTCTACCCCGCCCCGGTTTCTTTGGTGCGGGTTCATCGTCCGAATCATCATCTATGACAGCTACTGAGATAACCCTAGTACCTCTTCCTCGGCCACGTCCTCGTCCCCGCCCTCGTCCTCTTCTACCTGTAGACGCGCCACGACTACGGGGAGGTACGGGATCATGGTCTTGATCGTTATCTCCATCATAAAACTCGTTCCTTGATACCGATTCATCTGGTTTAAACTCTCCAGCAGCAGCCGTTCCCAACTCTTCTTGCTTTTCCTCAAGGGTCTTCTCTTCGTCCCCGATCAAACCTTGGATATCAGGAGGAATCTCTTGCATCGCGACACTCGGTGCACCCTGAAGATATCGAAGTTTGTTCCGAATGCTCATCGTGATACGTTGGAGAGAAGCAGGAGAATTTTGGTTTTCAACTTGACCTGTTAGGGGAGGGTGAAGTTTCCAATGAGATTTGGCGAAGAACGAGTCGTATACGGTTACCGGAAGTTCGTTGGGGATATGAGCGCCGACGAGAACAGAGGTTTCGTATGTCCAACATCGACAGACGTTTCGTAGAGTATAACCACCTCCACCAACGACGAGAAGTGGAACATTGAATTTTCGAACAAAGTTCACGCATTCACCATGAGCGGCGATGGAGAGATTGAATGCACCAAGTCGGTCGCAACCAAGAGAATCAGCGCCGCATTGTAAAACGATGGAACTCGGTCTGAACGATGTGACGACGTCTTCGATGACGGTTTTGAAGATCGTCAGATACATGTCATCATCTATACCATCCAATAAAGGCACGTTGAGAGCGAAATGCTTTCCTGGTCCCGAACCGTTATCGTCGAGTTTTCCGGTTCCTGGGAAGAAGTCTCCAGTGTATTTGTGAAAAGAGACGGTCATGACACGGTTGCTTTGGTAGAACGCAAGCTCCACACCATCTCCGTGATGTATGTCAATGTCGATATACAAAACCCTAGGATGGTATCTGCAAACAATCAAAACAAAATTGGTCAAAGGGCAGATGATCTTGGAGATAGGGGTTTTTAATTACCTGAGTAGTTCGAGAATAGCGAGAACGATATCGTTGACGTAGCAAAAACCACTGGCTTCACCACGTTTAGCATGATGAAGTCCACCGGACCAGTTGATTGCGATATCGGTGGTTCCAGCACTTAGCTTTCGTGCACCTGCAAGTGAACCACCGGCATACATACGACAGAATTCAAACATGTCCGAAAATATTGGACAATCTTCACCACAGTTGAAGACATCAATCATGTGCTTCATTTCTGTCTGATTAGAAGGCGTCACTCTAGAATACCACGCATTTTTTTTGTTGGTCAGAAGTCTGAGGCGTGCAGATAACTAATGTTTGGCATCATAAATACTTGCCTTGATAAAAAGTCAATATAATCACGATCGTGATACATTTCGAGCTCTTCTCGTGTCGCCGAGCGAACGTCGTAGATATGGTGTATCTGCTTATGCAGACCATATCCCATAACTAGAGCGTTCGTCAGTGTCAGTCTAGCCGGTTTCATGGGATGTCTTTCCTGAGATCCAGTAATTGTTTAGAGATGTCGTCAATGCGCTATCTACAAGGACTTACTCCATAGTGGTGTGCACCGACGCCTTTTGGAAAATAGTAAGATACAATAGGTCGAGAATGAGGCTAAGTTTCAACAAGTTAGTTCGAATTCAGGGGAATTTGTTCATTATTCTTACATTTATTCGCTCTGTAATAGGTTCTGCTACCCCATGAGGGCCTCTATCGAGGAAATAGGATGTAGAAGAAAAGGTAGGAGGACCAGTGCTTGTCCCGAACATGACAAGGAGAATTCGTAATTACGAAGTGGGTATGCCGATGTAATCAAGGTTTCCTTTTGGGTGTGAGATTATGCGGGAGATTGAGCAAATCGAGAGAGCAGAATCGAAAGGAAGGGAGAAAAACACTTTGACAAAAAAAACACTTCGAAGTTTCAAGCAAGGGCGGTACGCGTCTGTCGGAAAATGAAATTCAACCTCCGCAAACGTGATGATCAATGTGAACATGATGGGTGTACACTTTCGACATCCCAGTCTTCTATGCGTTGCCTGCTTTTTTTTCTTTCCATAAGCTCTCATGTGCTGCTAGCCCTTTCATCTGCTGGGGATCGTTCACAAGAGTTTAAAGACTGTGTATCCTACTGTAACTCGACCCAATGTCACCAACCCCAACTTCTACCGCTCTCTTTACGACTTACAAGATGGACGTGCACGGATAACTGCAAATATACCTGCATGCATCAACTAACCACCAAAACGATCGAATCCGGTACTAAAATTGTTCAATACTACGGCAAGTGGCCCTTTTGGCGCTTTGCTGGTATGCAAGAGCCTGCATCTGTGGCATTTTCCCTTCTCAACCTTTGGGCTCATTGGCGGGGCGCATCGAAAATTAGACGCGAGATTTCGTCTGCAAATCCTCTCAGATCTTACTACCTGTGGTGGTCATTTGCAAGCATAAACACATGGGTCTGGTCGGCCATCTTCCATACAAGAGGTGCGTCACGAAAACGTTATCTTTCTATCCACAGAGTTTGACAGGGCTTGTTTCTAGATACCCCTACGACAGAAAAGCTGGATTACTTCTCTGCAGCTTTGACAATCCTACTTGCTTTGTACTTTACTGTGATACGTTTATTCCACCTTTACACTCCACCCCGGCTCTCCTTAGCGACAGAACGATCGTCTCAGAAAACTGCGACGCTAAAGCTGTGGACAACCCTCTGTGCCATCGCTTTCATATGTCACATCTCCTACCTCACTCTGTTGCCTCGTTTTGACTATTTCTACAATGTCGTATTCAATCTCATCATTGGCCTTACTCACAACGCGTTGTGGCTCGTGTATTCTCTTCCCGCGTCACTACCTCTCATCCGAAGGTTTCCAAATCGACCGAAAACGTACCGACCTCGTTTTGTCGGAAAGGCAGCGATACTCGTCTTTTTCACTACTGCAGCTACGGGTCTTGAATTGTTCGATTTCCCGCCTTTTGGACGAATGATCGATGCGCACGCGTTATGGCATCTGTCTACGGCACCCATAGCGGTGTATTGGTATCGTTTTCTGGTGGAGGATGCCAGTGACGAGAGTTGGAGAGAGCATAGGAACTAATTAACCTAGGAGGAAGTGGGGAGGGTTTACGCGGGTGTTATCTCTCATTATTTATATATGCATTGTATCGTGAGGATACCCAGTTACTAAAGAGGTTCAAATAACATGATGTATGTAAAGCAAAATGGCTATGAGAGGGTGTCATGATATCGGTACGAATAGCAAAAACAACCTTCATCAGAATCACTGATTTATGCCAGAGAGTTGGCTTTAGAGTCTAGGAAAGTGAGACTCTAAATTAGAAAGATTTCGTCATGATAACAAAAAGGAAAAATCTTCTTTCTCCCTCCATATTTCTGCCGGAAAAAGTTGTTGGTAGGACTGGTTCACTGCCCCAGAGAGGCTCGAACTCTCGACCTTCCGATGATACAATGACGTAACAGTCGGACGCTGTAACCAACTCAGCCATGGGGCATTGAAATTTCGTTGGCGGTACCGAGCTTAGTGTACACGCTGAGCGCTGAGCTTCCACACTTCGGGTCGACAGGAGTCACAGGACAAAAGCCACTTTCTCTTGACCCCTAACTCCATCTTCTGGGAAGATGACCTATCTTGTTCTATGTGACATATGTCAAGAAGACCTACCTCTTGAAAGATTTCTCTTCTACAGATGCGGTCAGTCCCAGCTGTCTTCGAATCTTGCTTCAATACGAGAATTCTAGACTAACGACGACGACGACTTTCGATTTTTACTTGGAAACGTTGTATATAGGACATGGCTACTGCGACTCTTGTACACCCAAAATCACTCAGAGAACGTGTCCTATGTGCCGACAGAAGAGAGATCACGAACCGCATAGAGTTTATCTGACTCCGGCTGCCACCACTGTTGAAGAGAAAGGGAAAGCCCTCGGTCTTGCACTGGACTCAATAGGGCCTGAATCCTCGACAAAGAGTACGAGAAATATTGGGAAAAGGATAAAGAGCTTCGCGGAGGAGGTGAATGTGGAACAAGCTACTGCGGTGAGTCTCCTATTACGCGTTCCATCTCTCTCTTTAGGCGTGCTCTCTCTTTTTCTCTGACTTGTTCGAATCTTTTCCCTTCAGGATAGACTCCTCAATGTCGCGAAGGAAATGGATGAACGAATAGCGCCTCTCTTTTTCCAACTTCAGCTTGAGCAACACGAAAAACTCGCGTTGCAAGAAAAAGTCAATCAATGGTTACCCCGAGTCAAAAACGCGCAGAAGGTGGAGAGGGAGGTGGAATGCTTAAAGGGACATCTTGCGGAGAAACAGAAGGCGTTGGTACATGCAAATGAGGTTAATGCTCGACAAGCTGTCGCGATAGAGAAACAGAGGCAAGAAATTGACACGTTGAAAGATATGATATCACAGCAAATGGGGATAATAAGTCTGAGGGACGCGGAGGTTGTACAGTGGAAAAAGAATGTAGAAGATGAGCAGATGCAGGTACGTTGACATGCAACTTTCTCTTAAATGCTTCAGCCTAACCTCCGTCTCCAGACTCGTTTATACAAGAAGAAACTAAAGGTGCTAAGCAAGGGTTTGACACAACGCAAGGGTAACTCGGACGATAACGATGATTCACTAATTGTCGGGCCGTCATCAGACAAGGTAATGTTTTCGTGTCCGCTTTCCCAATTTCTGTACGGCTAAATATTCTTTCAGAAACCATTCACCAACTCTCGAAACCAAGCCCGCTGTTGACGAAGCATCGCAAAATCTATTCTTCCGTCTAGCCGTATGTTGTATCGTACCACTACTTTTCCATCATCATCATGTGTACTATATTGTCGGATATCACCGCACTGTCTAACCCAAGTACGATGTACTTCTCTCCTATACATACTTTCATGCATACATTAGTACTTTCATGCATACATACTAGTATTTTCATGCATACATACTAGTATTTTCATGCATACATAATAGTACTTTTCATGCATACATACTAGTACTTTCATGCATACATACTAGTACTTTCATGCATACATACCAGTACTTTATAGTACTTTCATGCATACATACATCCTTTCATATATACTTTTACTCTGTGTACAGTCGATGCTTACGACACCTTTATTACACAATTTATCGAGCACTACATCCTTATATGGCACTTCTCATGAAACATCGCAATACATGCAAGTGCTTATAATTGCATCGTGATCTTAACGGTCAGGCTCATCAGATTGTACTTTTTCCCCCTGCATTTGCATTGTCAAACACATGTTCCATTCTGCACGTGGAGGACACACACTAGTTTGTGCCCTTTAACATCCCTTTCACCCATCCCGTTTGCAGGCTCTGTACCTCATACTCCATCCTTCTTTCGGATGGCCACTCTCGAGCTCATTCTATGCGACATTTGCCAGGAAGAGCTCCCTCTCGAACGGTTTCTCTTCTCCAAATGTGGTCAGCCCTCTGCTAATGGTCTATGTCTTGGTTCCCACTACTGAATATTCCTCGAAACTTTTACACAGGACATGGGTTCTGTGACATCTGTACTTCTCAAATCGCTCAGAGCCAGAAAAACAGTCCAAAGACATGTCCCATGTGTCGTGGCAAGAGGGACAATGCACCACACAGAGTCTTCTTGACACCTGCTGGTACTGCCACCGGAGAGAGAGCCGAATTGCTCGGTCATGCACTAAATACGTTAGGCCCCGATATTTATGCGCCAAGACTGAAGGGTCTAGAAAATAAGATGAGAACTGTAACTGAAGAGCTGAGCGTGGATCAAATGACTGCAGTGAGTCTTTATTGAATAATTTAGTGCTTGGCCATTTAGTCAACAAAATCCCACATAGCGCAAGCTACTCGACGTCGCAGATAACATGAAGCAACAGATAGCGCCTCTTTTCATACAGTTACAGATTGAGCAAAAGGAAGCGAGCTCTATGAAAAACACAATAAACCACTTAGTATCCAAGTGCAATTCTGCTAAGCGAGAAGGAGATTTTCTGAAGAATCAACTCGAGCAGAAGAACAGGGAACTAGAAGGCGCCGAGGAACTTAAAAATAGACTTTTTGGACAGATAGAAGCGCAGAGACGAGAGAACGAGAAGCTGAAAGGGTTCATTGCGAGCGTCGCAACTAGTCGAAGTCCGGAGACTCTGCAAGTGGGAGGATCGAACATACAACAAGGTACACTGAGGCAGGCGACTACTATTCCCATTGTCAACCAGCAACGTCGTCCAAGGAATCCTGATCTGCTCAAGGAACGCATTCTCAAGGTCCTGTTTGATCTCCGTAGCGCTCATGCTATGCGCAAGACTCCACTTCCTCCGCCACTTCTTGGCATTTCATCTCCCAACTATGACCATTCTATCTCCCCATTCAAGGATATCCAGTTAGGCCCGCAACTTTGTACTATATGTGTTGCTGGCAAGCCTATCAACATGTTTGCTCTCTTCGCGGCCGTCCTTGCTCGAGGAGGTGGTGCAGTAGTACGTACAAACTCGTTCCACCCGGATTTTCCATTGCTTTTTGACGTTTTTCCTTCGGGCAGCTTACGAATAACAATACGTGGTCCACACTACTTCCTTCTTTCTGCCTCTGTGAGCACTATTTAGCACCTGACGGACGCTCTATGATACACGTCCCAAAGCTCCTCCGACATCATTACAACTTGATTTTTTCCCCTATCGAGCACCTGTACCTTAGACAGACGAAGGAGTCAGTTGGAGTGCCTGCTCCTTCTCAGAGTGTTTCATCCGTTCCTGTACCTACTCTACCCGGTGGTCTCTTTCCCCAATCTCGACTTCCAGTCGCCTCTTCTTCAGGCTCTTCAGGCCCTTCATCACAGGGAGTCAACCTCCATCGCCAACTCCCTGCAAATCAAACGTTAAATCACAATAGTCGGGAGTGGCCTTCGTTGAAGCGTGGACCGGATTTTGGGGAACTCACTGAGGAGACAACACGTCGGAAAAGGTGTGTTTCAGATACTTGCTTCATTTTTCGTCTCTCGAAATTCAGACTGATAGCATCCCTCTTTTCTGCAGGCCCGACTGGCGGCAGTAATTTATCAGCAGGGTCACTGAGTCCCAGTTCCTTCAGGTAACAAACCTCTACCCTTATTTCTCTTTTTCTTTCTTTTTTGGTGGACTAGGCACATGTATTTGTATTACGGGCATTATTCATGTATGTAATGTACAAGAGACATGTTTTTGTGTATATTTGACATTGACATTAAACCCTATACCTCTTTCATCATTCATGCGAAAAGACAGGGAGATTGCTTGAGTCAAGCTGCGAATAGGAACGTTGTATACATTGCCCCATCCAACATATGACTCCAAAGGTTCCAGAGTGTTATCCTTCGGAGAAGTAGCGGTTGTACAGGAAGGTATATTCCAAACATCTGCTTTGAATCTCGTCCAAGGACGGACACACCGGCCGAGCGGTAAGATTCTTTTTCATGGATGGTGGAGTCGGGAAGAGATGACATTCAATGAACGGATAATTAATGATCCAGGCCGAGATATTTATGGACAAGGTGAAGGCCCGAGGGAAGGAAGGCTAAAATCGAGCAGCGAAGTGTTTGAAGATTCTTTGTCCAAAAGGAACTACTCCCTTTCTTCAATCTTGACTGCGGAAACTAAATGGTCACTGACAGTCGTCTCGTCCGCGGTCGCCACCGGCTCAACAACACGAGACTTGACCTCTTCCTCTTCGAAAGCGATCTCAATTTTCGGTTTTGCGTCCGCATGTTCTTCGTCTACCTCTCCCTGAGTAAGGATCTTACCCCGCGTTGTCTTGGTCAACTTGGACCTGGATTTTATGGTCTTTGGCTTGACTATCTGAGCGCTTGGACAAAGGTCCTCGGAACTCAGTGTACATTGATCACACTTGGGTCCGACCGGGGTGCAAATGGTCTATCAAAGCGGGTGATGTTTTTTGAACAAAGATCAACTAAGATGTGACGCTCAGATGTGCTTACCTGTCCAAATCCAACTAGCATGTAATTAATCTCGAGATAAAACTCCTTTGGCAACCAGGATTGCAAGTTCAAACGAGTTTCCTCGGGAGTCTTGGACGGAGGTTTGTGCCATCCTAAACGGTTGGTGATACGGTGAACGTGGACGTCTACACCGATACCATGATTGCTAGCACGAAGCCAGGATTTCAAAAGGATATGTGTTTCGAGGAATTACGAGGTACTTACAGATCCCAAGCTATTTGTAAAGCTAGAAATGCCATTTTAGGTCCAACGCCAGGTAACGCACATAACTCGTCAACGGTCTTGGGTACGTCGGAGTCATGGTTGTCACGAAGTAAAACAGCTGTTTGCTTGATGTACCTAGGGGTTGAGATTATATCGTTGGCTCTTTCTGATGATGAGAAAGCAAAGACCTACTGTGTTTTTCTCCTCCAAAATCCGACCTTGCAAATCGCAGATGATATTGTATCATCGTCAGCGTCAATGATGGCCGCCACGGAGATAGCGCCACC